TTTAAGTTTATCTCATTATTTTATCCATGATTAGATTTCATTTAAGTTTATCTCATTATTTTATCCACGATTAGATTTTATTTAAGTTTATCTCATCATTTTATCCATGATTAGATTTTATTTAAGTTTATCTCATCATTTTATCCATGATTAGATTTTATTTACGTTTATCTCATTATTTTATCCATGATTAGATTTCATTAAATGATATGTAGTTGTAGTTGTAGTTGTAGTGTATTAAATGGAGATATCACATCATACCTAGACACTCCCAGTCCCAGTTTCCTTCTGCCACCAGGAGGCCATCGCGGAACTGTGACCACGGTCATGGCACCGCCACGGAAACGGCCATCCGAGTCGGGGGGGTTAGCTATGGAAGTGTCCTGAAATATGGGTAGCTACCCTCTGGTTATGACTAACAGTTTGCCATGGAAAGATCCACCATTTTTAAGAACGGTAAACCATCTATTTCTATGGGCCATCTATACCATGGCTATGTTAAATAACCAGATGGTACTCCCTAAAAACCATCCATTTTCGATTGGGATTTTCCATGAACTCGCCTTAACATGGGTAGCTCCATGAAAGGAAAGCCCCAAAAATGACTTTACATGGCTATGTCATCGGGTTTTATAGCCTGACAAAGAATCCTGTGTTTTAAACAAGAATCCTCTGTTGTTCTGGTTTATCTTGGGCCAACAAAAACAACATTGTTTGAGTAAGAAAATATGCTAACTGCTGGGATGGGGTGAGGGCCTGAAGGGTAATCGAAAAGAGATTGTTGCATACGTATATATATATATATAATATATTCTACGTATATATATATATAAATACGTATATCATATATATATATGATTATACATAACATATTATATAGATCAAACGTGACCAACATCGACGGCTTCGACGTGGCTAGATCAAACAATCTGGGATACCAAAACTAGCGCAAAAGTAATTCCGACACACCATCCACCATTTTTTTACATACAGCCTACGGTCAGTCGGGGGTTGGAACATAGTTGCCACAAAAAATTGGTTCTTTTCAGGGTCTATCTTCATTTACTGGAGCATCTTCACCTGTTTGATCCTCTTGATGGTTCAGGGGTCCCAAGTATGCGAAAGGATGGTTGCAATCAAATGTAAATCAATAAATAAACACACACGCACACACACACATATATATACACACTATGATTAAAACAATATATATATATACAATAGTTATACATGTACACCACGATATTGTGAAAAAAATATCAACCAGTAACTCTAATCTGCTCTGATGGTTTTTGGCGTTTGTGAGCTTATGCTGATATGCTTTCGACGGAGCAAGACTCGGCGCTCAGGCGATGAAACACATGTCGTTGTCATTGTGGCAGGTAGTGGTTTTTCACGATGCTGAGATTAAACAACATGGAGAACCTAGTGTTTTTCTATTAAGAAAAAAGTGGTTATATATATATATGTAGGTTCTCAACATATATTAAAAACCACTGGTTTTCCATATAAACATAGGTTTTTCTATTATATAAATGTAACAGTAGGTTCTTTAAAAATGAATCACTGTTGGTGTTTTTTTGTCAAGTTGCTGAGATCCCAACATCTTTTGAAAACTGCTGGTTGGTGTCTCGCGCGCGAGCTCACGGCTCGCCCCAGGAACGAAACCCATCAATTCACATGGGTCATGACTGATGTCCCCATTTTTCACATCACCCAACCATGAAAGGTATATGGTCTACTAGATGGGAACAATAATGGTGATATTTAATGGCTATATTGGGAATATATGGTCTACTGCCATGGCTACTTTTTCAGGTGATGTCCAATATATCCAAAATGGGACATTTACCAATCAATTCAGAGTGCGCCAACTTAAGATAAACATACATCAACCACAATTTTAAGGAGATCTCTATAACCAATATCACCCAGCCAACATTGCCGCATGGGTATTTGCGAACATGGGGGATACCCAATTGCAACTGTAAGGCAACAACAATGACAATGTTTTATACCCGTTGGTGCCTCCCAGTTATAAGCTGGTATGTAACCGCTGCCAACTACCATCGCCCCAACAGTTATCGACGTCATTTCAACCAATTTAGGGATTCCGAACTGTTCGACCGCGACCTTGTAGATGGTTATTGTATATATACATATATATATATATGTATATATATATACGTATATATATATACGTATATATATATATATATGTATATATATATACATATAGATCTATACACTGTATGATGTCCCCGGGATGGTCCAGTGAAACACTAAAACGACCCCAACTATTGGTCCTTCATATCCCCATATATATAATACATATCTATCTATATATTATATATATAATTATATATATATATATGATAGAATTATATAGATCACATCCATTCCTGGTTAATTCATGATACACATTGATAAACATCCACATATTGAATAAGCAAATAATAGTAAATTATAACTTAACAAGTTAATTCAATGTACAATTAACATCAATTAACTCATAGAAATGCACCAATTACACACCAATTCAATTCACCAATTCCCATTTAAGAATGGCTACATAACTTATGTGGCTCAGCCTCGATCTCGGCTCCGACCGCGGTGTCTCTCTGAACGCGAAGATTTCCTCCGTCACGTCTCCTCCGTCCAAGGCAAGGGAGGCAAAGGAACAAAAAGGGATTGGGGACGTCCAGTAACACATGGGATGATTGTTAATAGTCATGGACTGTAATTATATGGGTTGTATGGATTAGTCATAGTGATGATGATTCTTATGATTGATATAGTGTTATGATTGTTAAGAGTTATGAACTGTATATGATGTATATGGATTAATGTATACATATGGATTAGTCATAGTGATGATAATTCTTATGATTAGTATTGAAACACACGTTTGGTATATAGGGATGGGATGATTGTTAATCATTAAAGATGAATCATTACAAATGATTTGTTCATAGCATCCTTGATTGGGATGATAGTGAATATTATAGATCCATACTTATTCCATCAACTTACAACCAATAATAATGATTGAGTAGGGATATGGGTGAATAAGTACCAGTATGGGATAAGTATGGGTATCAATGGGATATTGATGGTTATTGTGCTAAGTGAGTAGGGCATGGGTGAATGCTCCAATATATTTAACCATTAATATCTATCAACAATCATCCCATTCCCAGATTCGCCCAGCCCAAAAATTCCCATTCATCACCAGTACCCTCTGGTAAACATACAAAAAGCTATTGAAAATGGCCATTTATAGTGTGTTTTCCCATCAAAAATGGTGATTTTCCATAGCTACGCTAAATTACCAGAGGGTAAGTCAATGGCAAGAAAACAATGACAATCAATTGAATCAATGTAGGACTCCCTCTATTGATGGAGGTTTCATGGGAACATCATCTGTAAATGGAGGATTTTCCAATTGTCAACATCATCTATGTTTCCTGCAATGGCAATAACTTCCCAGTTCAATGTAGGATTTGACATTGGATACATAGAGTTACATAGATATATGATATATGGAAGAACAAAGACTTGTAAAATACTTGTAACGCGTAAGCTTTACACCGATCTTGGTCCATTAGTAATTGTTGTTATTGGATAAAAAAGGCTAGGGAACTTTACCCTACTCGGATTCCGACCCAGCAGTGCATATGACATTTCCGTGGCCACCAGGAACCAATTCCATGGGTGGCTCGTCATTTCAACCAATCATCCCAACTTGGTCCCTGTACTGTATCCTTTTTGTATGTTTTTTTCAAAACAATATTTCTTTTCCTCTGGTAAACGTTTACATAACTATGGAAAATCACCATTATTAATAGGTAAATCAACTATAAATGGGCCATTTTCAATAGCAAACTCTTAGTTTATCAGAGGGTAACAGTTTGAAACCACCAATCATCTCAAATCTGGGGCGCCCCGCGTTTCCGGCTTACCGTCCGCCCGCTCTGGCAACGCAATGCCTCCTCCGTATTGACACGTTATGCAACAGAACTGGGGAGATATTTTCCATCAAACATGGTGATGTCATGTGGATTTCACCATGAAAAACAGGGACTTACCCTACGGCCCTACGGTCAACGGTGAGATGTGGAAAACCCATGGGTTTCCCTAGGAGAATGATCTACAACTGGCAGGTTTTGCGCAGATCATGAGGTGTTTGAGCCACCCAACAGTGAAACCACCAAGCAGATAGTCATTAGAACTTATACCAAACGAAAACGAAAACTATATGCAATATAAACAATGCTTGACACCACCTGTAAATCTGAACCATGTAAAACAATGTAGACAATTTAATATTATAATGGTAATAATGTGAACAATTTAAGTTAATTTAATAATGTAAACAATTTACAATGTAAATTAAGCAAATTGTTTTGTTGCTTATCCAATATTCGTCATCAGACTTTCAGTTTCACCATTATCTGATATCATGAGATCATGTTTGGTTTACAGCCCTCAATACACATCTCTTAAAAGTTTCTAAACATAAGCGTGCAGAGGAGCCACTATACAGGTTTTTTGGCACATATCCAGCTGGTAGATGGATCATTTCCAATGGTAAGTGATATACCAGCTGGTAAACTAACAGTTATTAACCACTATTATTCATTAATCATTATTAACCATTATCCATCATTATTATTCCATAGGTAATTTAACATAGCTATGGAAAATCACCATTTTTAATGGGAAAATCCACTATTAGTGGTCATTTTCAATAGCTATGTAACAAATTTCCAGAGGGTACCAGCTGGTAGATGGTTGATTCCATTTTAAATCCTCCCAAAATCATCCAGCAACAAAAGGGATTAAATCTCGAGTTCACACCTGGCAGGGACAGGTTGAAGTGTATCTGATGGTAACGGTTTAGATCGTGATGTAATTTTAATTGCGTACTGGAATCCACTCCTTTTCTCCATTTTAATCCCATTATTTGACCACGGCCACTGTCCTTGCTGGCAGATGGATCACTCCGAAGAGCCGCGTTTCAAGGAGATGTAGATGACCTCGTAACAAAGGTGTTTCTTGTGTCGTGCTTTAAGGTCCAACCAAAGGGTTCTCCCCTTTTGTGGTGTATATGTATATATATATATACGTTCATAGATTATACATGATTTTATCATGTATATATGATAGTATATATTCAATACAATATGTGTATATATACACTGTAATTATCTTTACATGTATATCAATCATATTCACATTTCATTTCACTTGCTCCAAGCCCCACTACAAGGGGTGACGATGTCAGCACTGTCAATGGATCTCCCCCAAGTGCCCATTGACATTTCTTGCCTCGTCTGCCTCGTGGCTTAAATGTGTACTTTGGATTTAGCACCTCGCCTCGTTACATACCGTGGGGAGATAATGGCCTTGCCTCGTTAGTTCTACTTGAGCCTACATAGCACATTTTGAGATCCCAAAACCGAAAAAAAAAACTTTCGAGGCCCTGAAAAGGTTTTTTTTGGGGTGGATGATGGTGGGAATGGTCTGACTAGCACTTCCCGAGCAATGTAATTCGTCCGTGTCATCTCAGCAATTGTTTGAGAACCTATACTGGCTACAGCTTGAGTATTGTATAAGAATGGCAAACCCCGAGGTTGCGCAAGACAGCACGCCAGTTAGCCATTTCCGTTGAGCCTGCAAAAAGAGGGCGAGAAAAAACTTTTCTGGCAGGTTTTTTTTTCCCCCAACTGCCAGAAAATAACCTCGCAAATGCCTGGAACCGCATGTCTTTGCTCTTTCTCCTCCGTGAGAAGAAAGCCGAAAGAATCAACAAAAACACATTTCTCGTGCCAGAAGGTTTTCTTTACAATTTGCATGTGTGCTGACACATCCCCGTGCAACTGGCTTGAGTGGGCTGTCCATATCTGTCCATATTCAAGCTCCGGCCACAATGTTCATCCCCTCATTGGTACCTGTTAATGTTGACTTCTCTACCTCGTTGCCTCGGCTGTCCTCGTAGTAGTTTGTGCAGATTTTCATCGGAGGGAACACATGCTGAACAGCAAGCCAGCTGTGTTACTTATATTCCCCTTTCCATTGTTGCTTGAATGGTTGCTGACACCAAAATTACAATAACACGTTACTGTTTGTCGCATCGACTGTAGATCCCCATTCTTTGTTGGTGAAATCAGCCTGTTTGATGCTTGTGAACATCATTTTGAGTTGGCAAACAATCCATGTTTAGCTGCTGACACGTCCATACGTGCTGCAACTAAATCCCCTAGTCTTATGCCCCACAAGACACATTTTTTGTTGCCTAGTAGTATATAATCCCAGCTATTTATGACAATCATGCCCAGGTCCTAGGTTGTCCCTGATAGCACGCACTGGTTTTCGCTGGGTCTCCACTCCCATCTCGGAATTATGGATCAAACCCTTGGTACCCGGATGGTACTAGGATTTTCATCGATGATTCCACCAAATAGATGGTACCCTCTGGTAAACATACAAAAAACTATTGAAAATGGCCATAGAAATAGTGGATTTTCCCGTTAAGAATGGTGATTTTCCATAGTTACGTTAGTTTACCAGAGGGTAATTTCATAGGTGACTTGTCCACCATATGTTCCTGGTGATATGCTCCTACGAAAATATCCCGTTCACCACAATGCCACCACTTTTTGTTGCTTCTTCAACGTCATGTTTGTTGGTTATCACCAACTATGGTTGATTTTATACCCCTAGTTATCCCTATTGTTGGTGATTACCCTCAAATAATGAAACATGGCAATGGAAAATCCACCGTTTAGTTCGATGATCTTCCCAGCTAGAACACCATTTACATAGGACTTTCAATTGCCATGTTTGATTACCAGAGTGTATATCACTATTAAACCCAGATGGTATTATGTATTTATATATATGTACATATAATCATCCTGAAGTAGATAGAATATGGAATTGTCAATGGCATTCCCATTTTAATGATATCTACTCCAGGACGACTATATATGTATGTAACTATATATGTATGTATATATATATCTCGGTGAATAATAGTAATTCACTATAGAAGGTATTTTACTATAGATGCTATCCTGCTATATATAGTATATATATATGTGGATGGGTCCAAACCCTGGTACCTAGTGAACCCCAAAATAGCTGGTAAATGGATGTTCATCCCACTAAAAATGTATCTATAGGTATTGATCCATACCCGTATATGTTATATCCCATCTCACATATTTTTGTTGCGATCAAAGGGCCCACAGTAGTCCGATGGAGGACAGAAAGGGCACGCGCCACATGGCCGGCAACGCCTCGTTGTGAAAAACGCGGACCGTGAACGGTCCGATGCAGGACGATGTCTGATGCCTACGGTGGGGCCCCCAAAAATTCAAAGGAACATATTGGAACATGGTGATTTAACCAAGAACAATTGGAATTTCATGGTATTTATAGCTGATTTATCGCTAAGTTGGCTAACAGAACGTCCAATAACGCAGGTTTATGGCAATTGTAGCCTCACCTTGTAGGGGGTTTGTCTCAGTAAGGAAAGCCGATGATTCACTTCATGTCTCCCGAATACAACTTATAAGTTATGGACGTATAGTAGTATGTGATTGAACATATTTCATCAATACCATTCTGAATTTAAATTCACAACCGGGACATTTGGGCACAAAACTCTCAAGAATGGCAAGTCTCAATAGAAAACTTCTCGTCCAAAGCTCTGTTGTAGGGGTCCCCACGTTGGTATGCGGATGGAAATTGAAGACCATCGACTTCATCCATGCTATCACCACAGCCAGGAAACTTTGTGGCCAGAAAATATGGTGATATGCCAAACAATTTCACCATCAGCATCCTATCATCCTATCGCCCCAACATATTCTTTGGGTTCAATGTTTTTTGAATATCCTCAAGTAAACTAACGTAGCTATGGCGCTTAGCCACCATGACATAATTTCCAAGGGACACCCATGGATTTCGATTGTACATATTGTACATTTATATCAGCATATTCCACGACATCCCGTATAGTCCATATAGATTCCCCTTGATTCCCATTAAATCAGTACTGGCTGGTAAACTAACAAAGAACTATGGAAAATCACCAGTTTTAATGGGACAACTCACTATTTCTATGGCCATTTTCAATAGCTATATATGTCATATATGTTAAATTACCAGAGGGTAAATCATGAAATGTCTCTTCGATCATCATAACATCCCCATTTTTTTTCGGCCAGCAAGCCCCGTTTTTTACACTGCAGCACAACGCTTCCAAGTCTCCGTGAACATCACCTCAGAACACAGGTGATCCTCCCATGGTGAATCAACCCAACTAGTCGTGCTGGTTGGGGGGACGTCACCTGCAGATACCCGGCCTGGAAAACATACAAAAAACTATGGAACATCAAATTTCATAGCTGGGAAAATCCACTATTTCGACTGGGCCATTTTCAATAGCTATGTAACAAATTACCAGAGGGTACCCTGTGCCACAGAAAGTGTCTACCTGAATGGGGAAAACACATGGATGTCTTGAAGGTGAGTCGTTTTGACGAAACATCTTGGAGCCACCGGGCTCTGAGGGATTGCGCGAATTTCACACTTTGTTGCAGCTGTGTTTGCCGTAAATGTTTGAATCAGAGGTGCATCCGAGAAACTATGGCTACGGTTTGTATATATATATATATCATGATTTACCCTCTGGTAATTTGTTACATAGCTATTGAAAATGGCCCAGTCGAAATAGTGGATTTTCCCATTAAAAATCGTGATGTTCCATAGTTTTTTGTATGTTTACCAGGCCGGGTATCTCATTGTATTCCCATGAAATCGCCAAATGTTTGTTGGTTACATCCCCAAGCGCTTGTTGGTGATACCCGGATGATCCCCGAGATATTTGTTGAAGTCCCCATTTTGGATAGGACTTTGCCAGGCTGATCCGTTTGTTATTGCTGATAACCCGGTGGTTGTACCCTAATTATATAAGTTATATCCCATTATATCCCCACATATTTTCACATCAGTTTGGATATAAATGGGTCGTTATCAAGTAATATTCCCCACTTATTGTTGCTTATGCAAATTGTTGCTTATATGCTTGTAAATCCCAGTATATCTCCCCACTATATATCGCAGTTTTAGTCATTTTTCTTGGTTAGAACTTTCAGCCCCGAATTGGTTATATCCCATATCTTTTCCCATTGATTGGCGACAAATTGGTCTATGGAGCAAAATACATCAAAATTCCACATTATGATCCCGAATCTATCCCATGATATACATAGCATTTTTTTTTCCATTATATATATATCCCATCATTATGGTATAGTTGTCCAATCCGTATCCGAGAATTATCCCATAATTATCATATCCCTTCTATATGTTGGCTTCCCAAAAATGGGGGTACCCTTACATCACAATTTTTTAAATCATTTTAATCGTTTTTTTTCCATTTTCAACCATCCATTTGTGGTACCCCCATGTATGGAACCCATACAGATTATCCTACTATCTTAAACCACATAGACTTCAGACCATAGATATTAGACTATACCATACTGGTTGGTGGTTTTAACCATCTTCAAAAATATGAAAGTCAATGGGAAGGATGACATCCCATATATGAAATGGACAATAATCCAAATGTTCCAAACCACCAACCAGCATATTGGTTCTATATATCTGGGTAATTTATAGTATTTCACTATCCTGAATTAAGGCCATTTTGTGCAATTTGGGGATGATTTCCCTTACTAACCATGATTCCAGTGAGGTCACAGTGAGGTCGTTATAATTTACCCAGATATATCCTTAAATGGCTGGGGTTTATGGATACCGTATTTCCCATGATTTCCCCTATGGATTCATGGCCCACGTGCGCAGCTCGTCCGGAATCTCGTCATCGCCCAGGCGCCACATCAGAGGTCACCAGCAGCGGAGTGGCCGCCGTCAGGTCGCTGCCCACGTGCTGCGCCCAGAAGCTGCAGGCGCCCGTGGCCAGGGCGATGCAACTCGGGGGCCTGGAGGATCGAAGAAGCACTGCGGATCTGGGCCATGGGATTAGCGATTCATGGTTAGTAACTGGGGATTTGTTACCCCCTATATCCCAATGAAAGAATCCATTTACTAACTAGTGAACTAACTCCATGCATCTAAGTAAGGATCTGGGAGCACTGCGAATATCCAACATGGCAATGGAAAAATGCCTGAACTAAATGGCGTTTTTTTTGCTGGGAAAATCATGGGACAATCTCTTCTAAATGGAATCTACCATCGAATCTACCATCTCTACATGAATCTACCATTGACTAGAGATGATCTGGTTGTATCTGGAAAGGCCCGAGCCTCAGTGGTGGAGGGAAAATCTCCACCACTTCCAGTGGATGAAGAGATCCCAGTGGAAAGAAACAGCTGGAAAGGCCACTTCCAATGACGACATCCAGTGTGTTTTCCCCATTCAAGTTGCAATTTTCAAACAAACTCATCTTCCATAGAAAACATGGGCGGTTCGGAACCACCCCATTGCGCCACCATCTGCAACTTCCAGGTTTCAACTGTTGGATACCCCCGCCTAAACAGTCAGCTGCCCCGAAGAAGGCCGATACAATATGGATACAGTATGATACATGTTTCATCATGTTTCAAGAATATGTTTGGGTGGTTTAAACAGAAACCACTTTTTTTTTTTAATTAGATGCTTTTGCCATTGCATCTACAATCTACAGCTTCCTGGTGTTTTTTCTCAGCTTTTTTTTTGCGCTTTCCGGTGCCTGCTATACACCGCTTCACGGAAGGTATAGAAGACCGGCAAATAGATCAGGGGCATAAAGACTGCCCAGTCCTGAAGACCCAGGAGGCTCTGGGGACCAACTCTGAGGAAAGCACTGGATTTCGGCAGCTCCAAGCCAAGACTCCACTGCAATCATGGCCGCCACCATCCTCCACTTGCCAACCTCAAGGCTGTTGACTGAAATACTGGGATGTGGATAATCTATATATATATATATGTATACATACTCAGATCCTTAAGAGACACCTGATCATGAATTCTATTGTATACCATATGGAAGGAATTTGTGTAGATATGTGTACTGTAGATGCAAATACAATTAGAGCCGTGTAGAAGTAGGTGCGATACACATCAGTCTGCACCAAATAGGTTTCCTGATGTCTAATCTCATTTCGAAATTGGGCGATTACCTCATCCAATCCACCAAAAAAAGTTTACCCTCTGGTAAACTAACGTAACTATGGAAAATCACCATTTTTAAAAGGGTAAATCCACTATTTCGACTGGGCCATTTTCAATAGCTATGTTAGTTTACCAGAGGGTATCTTAAACCTACTAGATCAACCAAAGATTCGAAAAAAAACTATGCACATCACAACTGCCAATGGACGAAACGCGACAAGGAGCAACCACTCGGCTCAATTGGGCAGGAACATGCGCCTTGGAACTGCGGCAATGGTATGGCAGCACAACAGGTGTCGGAACAAAAATGCAGGTAAAGATACAGGATTACTATTAAACAACTCATTTACTAGTACACTATCAATCAAATCATAGTAATCTATGAATATGATTGAATTTCATTCTATTCACAAATGAGATGTATACACATACATGTTCAAATGATGATAAGTAGGGCACAATTCCATTCAAATTTCATGTTTCTGTGGCCGAAGTTTCAGAATTTTTGCAACTCTAGAGATGTCTTTTTTGTTTGAAAACGGGTACCCATACCCATACCGTTGTAGAACCGCATATCTCAACGTCTCAACGCAGGGAGATCATGGTATACGGTATAGGTGGATGTTCATCACCATAATGGGATAACTATGGGATTCCAAATGGATTTTCGCCTCTGATAAATAAAACATAGACCCTGGCAGATAGGGGTTGGAAGATTATAGAGTTTCCATCAAAAGTGGGCTATTTTATGCTATTTTCAGGGTCTATCTTGATTTACCAGAGGTTAGAATCTCCTGCTGTATGGACACACATGTTGACCTGATAGATATGGGGGGTTCTTACAATGGGGGATCCCCAAGTCACCATGGTTGTTAACCTGTACTAAGTTATGGTCATTCATGATTTGGATGATGACGGGGGTACCCCCATTTTAGGAAATCTCGATATTCAATATTGTAAATCATATATGTTGACCCATCCCATCACCATTGCATATCAGATTCACTTGCAAAGATTTGGATGCTGTGGGCTAAAGCCTTCAAACTTGGGGTCATTGGGCTCTGGGGCATATTTGCTTGGTGTTGTCAACCCTCGGATAAAACGACTGTGCAGTCCAGTTCCGACAGATGAAGCAAACAGAGAAACACATTAAATGCTAAATGATCTGACAAATATTCATAAACGATGTGTCGGGCCTCGCGCACTCTTCATGTGACAAACCAGAATGATATATAATCAACACCTTGTGATTCATTAGCAGAGTCCACTAACTTCGCGCTAACTCCTTAAGTGGCACCCTCCATATCTTCATGAACGGGGCCCTAAAAAGGTCGACATTCAAACCATGCAACCCTGCATATTTCATAAATTTGAGGCCTGAAAACATAGCTCCAATAATACTTAAATTATAACATATCAGAACCAGCATAAATTGATAAACTCTAATGACCCTACACTAAGTCGATGAACAACATTACTGTAGATATTTTCACACCACCCCAATGGATTTTCCTTGGTGCTTCACCATGGATTCAGGCAATTCTGGGGCTCAGTTCAGTCCCGATTCCGACGATTCCTGGCTCCTCCTGTAGATGTAGATAGACTGAACTGGATTCTGAACAGAGTTCCCATTGAAGACTTTTCGACTTTTCCATCTTCGATCTACTCCACGACTCATGACTAGATATACCCTCTGGTAATTTAACAGTTTGCTATTGAAAATGGCCATAGAGATAGTGGATTTACCCATTGAAAATGGTGATTTTCCATAGTTATGTTGGTTCACCAGAGGGTATATATATATATAAATTAATTCCCGTGCTGTTCATGTTCAAAAACGGGCTTGAATGACAATCATGGGAAACCCCACGGTGATATTTCCCATTAATATCTCGATGATATTCCCATTCTATCCTCAGGGATATCAACTTCCCATTATATTCCCATATATATATGTGTATGTATATGTTGGTTGATCAGGGATTGGTAAATGTCCAAATGTTTCACATCGCCCAACTTATTCTGGCCTTCAAAATCTCCCAACACAGGACATATAAATCTCCACCCCCTGATGTTAGTATATCTAAAAAAAATCCCCATGACTTTCCCATTGACTTCTATCCCCACAAAGATCAATTTCCCATTGTATTCAATTATAATGTGGTTAAAACAATGTCATAAACCACCCATGACTGGGAATGGTAACCATACCACCTATAAACATGGTGAAATTTGGGATGGCTTATCATTGTTTTGCCAACATTATTATATATTGTTACCAAGTGAATGTACGTTTATGTTGGGAACATTTATAATGGTGGCACAGTATTATTTATTGATTTCCCATGTTGGCAAAAACATATATACATATATATGACATTTATCCCCATGGGATTTCTTGCCACGGCACATAGAAGAGATAGGCGGGGCCTCCCATGGTGGCACCAAAGCTGCCGAAGAGAAGGGCTCGACGCAGGTCGTGCGCCTGGATTCAAAAGTCAGGGGAAACGAAGAAAAACCATGGGGATTTCTATACTATAGGGCTATTTTGTATCTTTTGGTAATTACTAGTGATCATATTCACCATCACCAAACTCATCTGTTTCTGTGGAGATTTCTATGGAAATAATGATGATGAAGGCTTTTCTCTCCGTAGACGCAATGGAGAATCATGTGGATTTTTGAACATGTGGGAGTTTTCTTCTAAGTGGAGGGTTAATGGAGAAAAAAAGGATTCAATAAGAATCTAAGAATTGGAGATGCAGTAGATGCTCTAGAGATCCCTAGTTTGAATTTGGAATGGATTGAGGATTGAGTTGTGAAGAAACATGAATGATCTTGCGTAAAAGTCACACCACTCCGGACCAAAACATGTTATACTTATTGCAAGGATGAACTGTCCATTCTGCCAGTTCAATCACAGCTCGTGATGGTTAAATTCACAGGGTTTTTGGATAAAATACAGTGTTGTTGCGTAAATCATGTTGAAGGTAGTTCTGGAAACAATTCCTCTTGTCAATGCTGGTGACATGCCCACGAAACTCTTATTTCGGACTATTAAGCCCCATTGACTATAGATATATCTACCATAAACATTAGTTAACAATGAGTTACCTTAGTTATTAACATGTCATTTAGCTACCATCTACCATAAACGAAATATCAACTTACTTATGTATTTCTTAGTGGGAAAACTGGATCGTATCTACTTAGTTAACTTAGTTATAACATCCATAAACCATACTTAACCAACTTAGCTATCCAGTTTTCCCTAACGTGAACATCCCTGGCCTGCCGTCGCTCAATGCATCGCTGGGTAAGGGCATCGCCCAGCAGATAACGTGCGGAGAGGGAGCCTGCGGCCACTCAACAAATCATCAATGGCCATTTCAGGAACCATTTCAATTATCGATCAAAGGTAATAAGTAATGATAGGTAATCATCAATGGTAACTATCCATTAAATCATTTAAATTTTAGGAACCATGTAATGGGTAATAAGGTACCTACATTGATGAGTAATATCAAGGTTACCTATCATAATATTGCTTACGAACCATTACATCACATTATAAGGCCTACGTGTAATACCTACCATATATAAGGAACCGTTTCAATTATCGATTAGTACCTACCATTTATAAGGCCTAAATTAATGGGAATAACCAAGAAATGGTGGTATAGTGAGAATTTACTAGTATAATGTGAGGGATCTTATATATATATGACATATGAATAGGAATACATTCTTACATGATATTTGGGTGTACCTGAAATGTCTTGGCCATGGGATGTACAGACGCCATTTTTATGGCCATCAAAAGCCGGGCCATCAAAAGCCTGGTCGCCTAACATCAAAACAGCTACTGTTTTCACAACTGATACCACCATTGGCCAATACCCTGGTACGGCGGAATAATACCATAACCAGCTGGCACATGGATGTAAAAAAATCCCACAACTGTGGTATGTTGTTTTTGTTAACCGCCAGTTCAATGGAAAAAGGTGGATTAAACTTAGATCAATGGGAATTTCAGGAACCTAAAATGGAGGTACTGTACCATATAAGACCATATTTTGAGGGGATATTCCCTTACATAGGCCTTATATAGGCCTTATATATGGTAGGTACCTCCAATTTAGGTTCCTGAAATGGCCACTGACTAGATTAAACCATCTACGATTGGGGAGGGCCACCGGGGTCACCTAGATAAGGGGTGGTTGAATCTCCATGAAAACGACGATTTTTTGGGGGATGGTAATGGCACATGGATTAACTGATTAAGTGTATCTATTCTTACACGATTGACATCTGTGTATAATGGGGATTGATGGGGTAGTTGTAACTAAGAAACATACTTAGTGAATTTCAGGGATGATTCTGCTACGACCAAAAACTATATTTGTGCACCATGGGTATCATGACAACGTATGATGGAGTGACAAGCAACAACATGGCAAGATTCACCAAGCATACCAGGGAGACTATCTGGTGAGGCCTACTTGACAAAAGACTACGACTAGATCAGTAGAGTAATTACAGAATGGTCAATTGATACCACATATCTGGTCTCAGTTCATCTCAAATGTATTTGTTCCACTGGTATGTGCGAGGATACCATGTCCTTTGTAGAGGATATGACTGCTACAACGACATGCAGCAAAACTACAGGATCTCATCAGCGGGGATATGGCTGACTTGCCCAAGGTTGAACTGTTCAACTGCAGACTGTAGACTTCTGTAGACTATGTAAACGCTGAAAAAACAATCTGGTTGGTGGTTGACCTACCCCTCTGAAAAATATTACAGTAGTCAGTTGGGATGATTATTCCCAATCTATGGAAAAATACAAAATGTTCCAAACCACCAAGCAGCAATGCATCATTTCCCAACAAACACACCAACAAGAGCAGCAACAATGTCAACGTGAACCATGATAATGGCCGCAAAAATCAAACGAAGAACAACACCACAACTAGATGTCAACTGATGGCACAACAATAATGACTTACTATTATTACTTTTATCACCATCACCATCACCACTATCAAATGGGTTTGTCTGTGAATAGGATACCACCATATATGATGCTTTGTATTGGTTTATCATGATGTTACATATTAAAAATTAACGCCTTTTCGGGGTGCACCCCGTTGACACTCAAAGATCATATGAAGTTTTTCGACGTTGGTTATGTGATCTTATATGATGCTAAAAATGACCCTATGACTATGACCATCTTCCCAATGATATCCCCATTATTCTATTCTCCCAACCCAAATCTATCACGCCATCCTCGTTTCATCCTCAACCCCCGGGTATGGCCAGCTGCAAGGGCAAAGCCCCGCAGCGAGGACATGACGACATCCGGAAATCGCAGCAAATTGGATGAGAACAGTCCATGGATCCATCAAAAACACGGATGTCATGGGGTGATTTCATGGGAATCTATATGGATTATATGCTGGTTAGTGGTTTCCACCCCTCTGAAAAATATTAGTCAGTTGGGATGATGACACTCCCAATATATGGAAAACTCAAAATGTTCCAAACCACCAACCAGTATGAGATCTAATCGAATATCCTAGGGTAAACAAACAAAAAGATGTGGAACACATTGGAAAAGCTCCGGTGTCCGCGGGAAAATGATCAATGCTCAGTTTACAGGAGGGCACAGACAAATCCACAATGCTCAGCAAAAATGAATCTATATAGTATTGACCATCACGGATATAATATATTACATATATATATATGTATATATATGTGTATAGCTGATGATACGTCTTTTTGTGCTCTCATGACTAATATCTCATAGGTACAGAAACAACGATTATGTATATACATCGGTGAAGCGACTAAACCAAACTTGACTGTCATGCACGTGTATAAACATATAGACTACTCCTTGACTGTATGTAAATGGACCGGTTTCATGCTCATATGTGTATGATTGTGTATGCACACACATGTATGCCCAAATAATCCTAGATATACGTTCAGTTCTATTGGACATGTTGTATATGTTGTATACACTTCTTCAAGTCTCCTAAAGTGCAAAGTACCGTCGCCTCATGGAACAGACCGATCTACCAACTCCCCAACAGCCAGACAGTGCTGTCCCCAGAGATTTGCCTTGTGATTTGTTGGGAGCCCATGGAACAGACAAAAATAAGGGATGAACGGGGCAAAAATAATACCCGGCCTGGTAAACCTACGTTTACATAACTATGGAAAGATCCACCATTTTCTGTTGCTGGGTAGTCATCCACTATTTCGATCAATGGCCATTCTCAATAGCAAACTGTTTGTTTACCAGGCCGGGTACCAAGTAAACTCGGCCAAGAATCCCTGCCCACGAGAACAAGCAGAACAAGCGCGACAAACACGTTGGTGGATGCTCCAGTGATTTCATCATGTCCGACTGTCCGACGGATCGTCTTAGAGCCCCCATCGCTCTCCATTGGTAAACTAACATAGCCATGGAAAATCACCATTTTTAATGGGAAAATCCACTATAAATAGCCATTTTCAATAGCTATTTTGACATAACCAGAGGGTATCTGAAAATTGGGTTTCCCATTCCATCCCGTGGTTCATCATAGTTTTCCCATTAGCTTATGATAAATTTAAGGGTTATAACATCTCCATTTCTGGAGAAACCCATATGACCAATATTTCAAGAGTTAAATTCAAATCATATGAAGCATTGAACATCAACCATCTATGTAGAGCATGTTCCTTTTGTGTTTCAATCATATTCTAGATATTTCTGGGCAAACCCATATACATTGATGGATTTACATCCAAATATCTCCCTATTTTATCCCAAAATGTTGTCTACCCTCTGGTAAACGTTTACATAACTATGGACAATCACCATTTTTTATAGGTAAATCCACTATTTCCATGGCCATTTTCAATAGCTTTTTGTATGTTTACCAGAGGGTAGATATCCACATCTTCGGCTGCAATCCCTATAAATTTCTGGACATGCCAGGCAGACGCATCATCATCGAACACCTGGCAACGCCAGTTAGGTCATTGTGGGGTGAATCTGCCATTTTTTTGAACAGTTTAGAGCATTTTGGTCATGGGGGATAGAGCACAACCGCCAGATTGTGGATCTTTGGAAAAACCTGGAATTTGGCTCTGATATTTTCTTTAGTGCTCCATCTGGAGGTTTAGTGAGGATCTCCCTAGCCATTAAGGATTCTATACTGCTGATCTTGGACAAAAGTAACAGAGTTGAATCGACCGGATATTGATATCTGGATGATTTTGGGAGTTCAACACCAACTAAAAATGGTCATATGGCTAGGTGAACATACAGAAAACTCCATGAAAATCCCAACATCCATCAGAGTTCCTGTTTTGACACAGCGCCCAAATATCCCAAATGAACCCAGAATCGATGTCAGAAGTCTTGTTTGATCATCGTTCGGGCTTTTACAGCCACAAAAAAGGAATAGACCACCCATTTTTATTGTAGTAACATGTAGTAACCTCCACCAAATGTATCGCTGATTTTCCGTGGGATTTTGCTTTGATCGTCTTTGATCTTTATTTTCATATCTTTTGGGTGGTTCCTCCAGGTTGGTTGTGGTTGAGCATCAACATGTGTGTCTCTGTGCAGTTTAGTAAGCCACACAACGAGTTTTTCACAAGAATTATTGATAGCAAGCAACACTGGTGGGTGTCTGAACAATTACCAACATACAGGAAAATCTGAATTTTCGAACCTACATGAACCACAACCAACAATGTAGCGTAGATACATAGGGATAACACCTTAAAAAACCGGCTCTATCCGGCTCTGGTAAGATGGCCGATATCTAATCAATCTAATCAGCAATGGCACAGTTGCAACGGTTACAATGTATACCTTTATGATTCATTATATAGATTATGTACCCTCTCTACTAATCACTCATGGCAATGGCTCCCTAGTTCGATGATAAAATCCCACTGAAACCTTTATGGGTGGTTTCCCAAACAGCTATGATGGATTGCCGAAGTTTATTCCCATGAAAATCCTCCTTAAGTTCCCGTAAAAATCACTATCATTAATGGGAAATGATAAGTGTATTCATGTTTATTCCAATTAATCCTCCTTAATTTCCAAACCACTACTGGTTGGTGGTTGACCTACCCCTTCTGAAAAATATGAGTTGGTCAGTTGGGATGATGAAATTCCCAATATATGGAAAGTCGTAATCCAGCCATCTTCCAGTCACCACCAACCAGTATCATAACCATCATATTCCCATTGTTGTTGGTTTATACCCTATGAAAACCACTATTAACCATCACTATTAACCACCAACCAGACTATCATTTCCCATGGATCACCGTTGTTTGTTAACCATTTCTCGCCATTGGTTCGAACCGCATGCCTCCTCCGGAGCGTCACTGCCTGGAAATACAGAGCTGGGGACTGCGGGTGGAGGATACCTCCAAATCCTCCAGTTTATGGAAACTTTTAATCGGGAACATGAGAAATCATCAGTTTGGGTATTATATATATATACACATATTATATGTAGTTACGTATATATATATATATTATATGTAGTTATATATATATATTTCAGACGGACCCTGGCACGCTGGTGCCCGTGTTTTTCATGTAACAACCGTTGCCAATCTCATCCAAATAACTTATACAACTCGTCAAAGGTTTTTAGCATGGATTCAATCCATAAGTCAAAGGATCCATAAGAAAATAAACATACCCTCTGGTAATTTAACAAAAAGCTATGGATAATGGCCATAGAAATAGTGAGTTTTCCCATTAAAAATGGTGATTTTCAATAGCTATGTTAGTTTACCGGAGGGTAAATCAAAAGAATTGCATAAGAAAATACGGGAAACACTGGTTCTTACTAAAGAAGGGGCTTCCTGCAAGTGTTCCCTTCAATCGAATCTGGGAATGAAACATCAACCAGAAAACTATCGCAGTTTCTATCGATTCCTGGCCGTTTCCAACAGCTAAACCCATCTCCACGGTTTTATCCCAGACCATCCCACTGAAATCCCATGGTATTCATGGTATTTTACCATCATTTCTGATGGTATTTTGCCACCATTGATTCGGGGGGTCATCTGAAACCTTCGCTGCTGTGAATCCAAAGTCTCCTGCCTTGGTCCCCTTCTTCCACTGGTGGGTCGAAACCTGCGGCAGAGAAATGGATCAACTTTCAGGCAGAGAACACGCAAATGGGGTACGAAAATGTGGGAAACCCTGGCTACCATAAACAACTACCATGACTGGGGATGGTTCGAATCCCACCCATAAAACATGGCTAAAAATTGCAAGTGTTTGGGGATGGTTTATGGCATTGGGTTTTACCACATTAACCGAGCTTTATTGGGGTCTAATGAGATATAATGGAGATTTAATGGGATATATAACCAACTTGACATATAACCACATATGTTATCATATTGCCAATTTGAGTGGGAGAAAATGACCAGAAACCATTTTTTATGTAGTGAATTGGGAGTATCCGAGTTTTTCATTTCCAAATCCAGTGAGTGCGTGCATCTGGCTGAAGCTGTTTTTCCCCATTTAATCAAGCTCTATGAATTGCAAATGGGGAAACACATGACCTGCTCAGTGATTTTGCAAAGGCAAATTGGTGAGGAATGACACCAAACAACCTGGCTGAATATTTTTTCGGCTGAATTCTATCTTGCTGGTTAAATATCATACAATAACATATACCCTCTGGTAATTTAACGTAACTATGGAAAATCACCATGTTTAATGGGAAATTCCACTATAAATGGCAATTTTCAATAGCTATGTTAAATTACCAGAGGGTAATACAATATAATCACGATAATATCTGGCCAAGCGTAATAACTCGCAAAGGTCAATCTTGCTGCGGTTGCCTATCATAAGGTATGAAATAACATGGAACCAAAATGATCCAACAATGTGTTGGTCAAATCATTACACCCTCACCTTCTAGCGGCGAAATATCACCAATAAAAAAAACACCAGGTTTAGGTTGGCCGCGCATAGAAATCATGGTAAAGTCCTTTTTTGTTTATTACTGTACTCTTATCCGAAGTTTAAGTGTTTTTTATTTATTTACATCATCGTTTTGATCGCCCACCTACGTTGACTGCTGTTTCAAGCCATCCACGCCATCACAAAATGGTGGGGATTATGATCCATCGGTTCCGGCGACACCAGCACTTTTGCTGATGAAGTGGAGAATTTGCAGGAACAATCAGTACCCTCTGGTTATGTCAAAATAGCTATTGAAAATTGCTATTTATAGTGGATTTTCCCATTAAACATGGTGATTTTCCATAGCTATGTTAAATTACCAGGTAACACCTTATATC